GCTGTCATAGCACCACTTATAAATTTTGCTGATCCTAGCGCTTACCAGCCGTCTTGTAATGTAATGTAATCATATAATACAATTTAATAATGTGTATATTGGGGATCATTGATAACATTATGGTTCTATATGTGTTCAACACTGCTGCTGTGGATAATAATTTTAAATTGTGTCACCAGGAAAACCAGCAAATGAAATGTACACCTCGCATCCGGATTGGGCACCATCACTACACTTGGGCCACACTGAGATAAAGGCCACACAGACTGCACGCTATGAGAGACAGGAAAAGAGAAAACGGCAAAGGACTGACAGTACACCTGCGAGGATGAGACAGCTATTGATGACCTTGTTCCACCCGGTAAGCCTTACAGAGCCAGCAGATTCAACACCGTATGTTGCTTTTGTGGCTTTTTCAGCTGCATGATGCACATTTAGCTAAAAGATGTCCTTATTTTATCCATAGTGGAGACACCAGCACCAGCTGAGGATGGAGCTGAGCAGACACCGCCGGCGTGCTGAAATCAACCGGCTGCTGGAGGAGAACAGGACCCTGAAACGTGAGCTTGGCCAGAGACTTCAAGCTTAACACTAGCTTTGTGACCATTCATTCAGTGAAAGGAATCTCAAATCTTCATCAAAACATTATTCAAAATATAAAAAAAAAATTTAAGAATAATTTGCTGAAATAGAAATCAGCATTTGTTTGATACTTAGTGTTAGAAAAAAAATGTGTCCTAACAGGTTTTCTGAACCATCTTCTAATCTAGTCTCCCCCAGCTGCTGGTAGAAACAAGATTTTTTTACCATCATTACCAAACTGGATAGGTGTTACATCTGTATTTTGTTGAAAATCATTTATTGAACATTGTTATTAATAAAATTTTAAGGAATAGATTAAATAGTCAAAGATCCGCAAAATATAAAAAAATAAACAATAGTGCAGTGCTGTGGCCATTCAAGTTAACTCCTAGTTTGAATCAGAGTCTTTCAAAGTGAACTATTTAGAAAAATGAGAGCAGTATTGACTGCGGGTTATTAAATCTGACCTCATAAAACACTGTAACGGATAACTTTGAGCTTAAATCATTCAGTCAGAGGTATTATGCAGGTTTAAATGTCCTGTGCTCATTTCATTTCTTTTTCTTTTAAGTGATATAACAATATAACAGCGTGGTTGTTATACTTTACTGTTGTATAACTGTGATTTATATGATATGTATACACATGCATGAGGGGTTGAGGTTAACGTTTGCTTTCCAGCATAGAATGAAATATAATGGTGTCCTTACCTGCATAATTTATGTCTATTTTTTTTCTCCTCAGGTCTTGCACTCTCAGCGCATTAATGAGACTCCCCTGAAGCCATGGGTCATCATTGCTGACGATGGGCAGGTTTGCTGTGCACACTGTACATGCATGGCTGGAATTGCAGAGGCATGTACACATGTTGGGGCTCTGCTGTTTAAGATTGAGGCAGCAGTCCGCATCCGTGGGAAAAAGACTGTGACAGATGTGCCAGCTTATTGGAAAATACCAGCAGGTATCAACAAAGTCAGCGGTGAAGTCGCCCACAAGATGGACTTCACTTCATCCAAAGTGCAGAGGATTGCTCTGGACAGAGTCATCGATGACAACATTCCCATGCCTGGCCTACGGACACGGGCCAGCAGACGCACTGCCCAAGCCACATTGGACGACTTATCGTCAATGTTCCCTGTTCTTCAGAACCATAGGTCAGTTTGTATGTCCACAGTGAAGCCCTACTTTCACAACTATGCTGCTCCTGTCCAGCCAGCTGTGATCCCAAAACCCCTGCAAGACCGTCTGCGCGACCCAAAGTTTGAAAATGCTCCACCAGCTGTCCTTCTCCAGCACTGTGAGACAGTGAAAGACATTGCAGCTGCATATTATTGCACGTCGTTATATTACAATACAATTATAGATTATATTATTGTATATCATGACATATTGCATCGCAGCCTTTATTTATACAATTTAAGAAATGCATATTGTTAAAAGTAATTATATAAGACATTGCACTAACATTGTTTTTTAATGTGTACTATAGTACCGGTAATAATTTGCACTACTTCAAATGTTATTGATATCTGTTATTACTTAATTTGATCTACCTCCAATTTTTATGTTTGTAATTGATGTTTCATAAATACGTATTTTTTATTACTTTGGAATTTTTTTTATACATAGACATTTTTTATAAAAAGCATAGTATTTTGTATTATTACATTGTATTGTTATATTTGCATATTATTGCACGTTGTTATATTATACAATTATAGATTATATTATTGTATATCATGACATATTGCATCGCAGCCTTTATTTATACAATTTAAGTAATGCATATTATTATAAATACTTATATAAGAATTTGCACTAACAGTGTTTAACTGTTAATGTTTACTATAACTACAATTTGTATAATAACAATTTGCAATATCTCCACTTTCCATTTCTCCATTGATGTTTCATTAAGACCGACTTATTAATAGGATTGAACATTTTGTATAAATACATACTATGTTATTGTAAGTAATTGCACTGCATTTTCATCGCGTCCATTTTTTATTTGTAACCATTTACCTACAAGCATTCAAACTGCACTGCTCTGTTCTGCGCTGCACTGTGTTCTCAAGTTTCACTACTTGCAAATAAACACTGAAAAGGATCTGATCGTTTGAGACCTCTTGCTTTTGGGTATGGATGCAAAACACACCTATGGCTAAAAAACAACCCACTTGTTAAATGTTTGCTTAGAGTGTATTGTTGATACAAAGAAATTGTCAATTCCATATTGAGCATCAATCTTTTCTTTAATACAGTAATTCATAAACACCAGAATAAAGTGGTTGACTTTAAGGTGTGGAAGTCCAGTGTAGTATTTCACTTTGACGGTGTCTTCCTTCAGGAAATCTTCATCCATTTTTCTCTGGCCAAGCTCACGTTTCAGGGTCCTGTTCTCCTCCAGCAGCCGGTTGATTTCAGCACGCCGGCGGTGTCTGCTCAGCTCCATCCTCAGCTGGTGCTGGTGTCTCCACTATGGATAAAATAAGGACATCTTTTAGCTAAATGTGCATCATGCAGCTGAAAAAGCCACAAAAGCAACATACGGTGTTGAATCCTCTGGCTCTGTAAGGCTTACCGGGTGGAACAAGGTCATCAATAGCTGTCTCATCCTCGCAGGTGTACTGTCAGTCCTTTGCCGTTTTCTCTTTTCCTGTCTCTCATAGCGTGCAGTCTGTGTGGCCTTTATCTCAGTGTGGCCCAAGTGTAGTGATGGTGCCCAATCCGGATGCGAGGTGTACATTTCATTTGCTGGTTTTCCTGGTGACACAATTTAAAATTATTATCCACAGCAGCAGTGTTGAACACATATAGAACCATAATGTTATCAATGATCCCCAATATACACATTATTAAATTGTATTATATGATTACATTACATTACAAGACGGCTGGTAAGCGCTAGGATCAGCAAAATTTATAAGTGGTGCTATGACAGCTGTCAACCTCAGGGTTTTTTTTTGAAAATGGAGAGGGATGTCCCTGTCCTTGTAGGAACTGGCAGTGTGTTCTACCAAAGAGGATAAAATGCTATATCAACCAACGAGGATGAAAATGCTATATCAACAGTCTCTGGGCGCGCGTTCATGCTTGTATGTGGTGCCACGGATGAAGGAAGGAAACACTGTAGGCTATAAAATAAAACCGTGCATCTTTAACTTACCAGAATGAAAATGCAGGGAACACACTCGCATTGACATCAGGATACTGTGGAAAGTTCTGTTCTCTCGTCTTACAGCCGCGATCCAAGCTAGCCGACGACTCTTTGTTATCTGTGAAACTTGGTCTCCGTGTTTGCGCCTCCAGGCAGGACAGCGGTGGAAAGTTATCCCATTTTGTAGGTTTTTCCCTCGGCGATCATGTGATGCGCTGTTACAGCCCACAATACAGCAACGGTTTACCATGGTTGAAATCAAGTTACGGTGAAATTAAACGAAATAAAACACGGCTGAGAGGGAGAACACAGGCAATAGTCTAAGGAAGCCGTAAAGTGCGCCGTCAACATGGTCACGACGACCAAGCCCTATTGCGAGGTAACGAAAAAGGTTTTGCGAGGGAACGCAAAAGTTTTTGCGAGGGAACGCAAAAGTATTGCGAGGTAACGCAAAAGTATTGCGAGGTAACGCAAAAGTATTGCGAGGGAACGCAAAAGAAAAAAAATTCCCCATGTCCCCTAGGGGGCTCCGTAGAATTCTGAATTTAAGTAAAATTTTTTAGATTAAAGTCAGAATTCTGAGATTAAAGTCAGAATTCTGAGATTAAAGTCAAAATTCTGAGATTAAAGTCAGAATTGTGAAATTAAAGTCGGAATTGTGAGAAAAAAGTCAGAATTCTGAATTTAAGTCAAAATTGTGAGATTAAAGTCAGAATTCTGAGATTAAAGTCAAAATTCTGAGATTAGAGTCAGAATTGTGAAATTAAAGTCAGAATTTTGAAAATAAAGTCGGAATTCTGAGATTAAAGAATTTTTAGATTTTTCTATTAAACAAATAAAATTTTAAAATGTGTTCACTTTTTGCTCCATATATATATATATTAATTAATATAATTATATTATAAATATTATATAAATATAATTTATAGATAGATAGATAGATAGATAGATAGATAGATAGATAGATAGATAGATAGATAGATAGATAGATAATTTATTATTATTATTATTATTTTATTTTATTTTTTTTTGCTCTTCCGTAGATTTTCCCTTGAAATCAGATTATAAAACAGATTTCGGATGATTCACGTGCCACACGGGTCACGTTTAAACGCCGGTCATGTGACCTACTTTGACAGCTGTGTTTATATTTTGAGCACCGCCGTCTAACGCTACGCAGATCGCACAAGCGAGCGCACCCCTGTAGATTTAAACGCACCACTCCTGATTGGAGATGACGCCGTGAGGAGCGGGGCGGAGCTAGAGCAAAGTCAACGTCCAGTTTGGGGCGGGGAGACAAAACTCGAAACGTTTGGTTTGATCGAGGGGAAAACCGAGCAGTGGAAACAGTTAAATTTAGATGATTTACAGAACCTTTATAAAAAAAATAAAAGATGAGACTAAGGTCTCAAAAAACGATTACTTTTACTTCAGAGACGCCGAGGAGGACGCGTCAGCGGTCGCGACAAACGCGCCTTTCGACGACTGAGACGGAAAGCCCTTTACCAAACAAGGTAACTGTCGACAAAATAAACAGTAGGTTTAAATTAAACCATCGGGAACCTTCCTGACAAAGAGAGAAATCTCTGGGTAATCACCTGATGGATCTTGCTGGTTTCATTTCGGCAGTGTTTGCTAATGCTAGCTACCGTTAGCTACGTGCTGTGTTGAAAACGCATATGAACGACAGGAGGCCTAAAGAATGGCGGTTTATTGATCCGAACGATGGGCGGCTAGTTGGAGGTAGATAATTTGAGGAATCCCCGCCAATGTTGTAAGCTTTATGTTTCAATGTTTATGTGTGAAATTCACAAAATGAGCTTTTCTTTGGTGGATTTAACCGTCTTTTTCAACGCACCGATAGGGGGCGCTGCTTCATAGCAATGCTTCGGTGAGCGTTTGATAATCAGAACATCTGTTGTTCCTCAGTTTACCTTTTAGAACGAGAAACTCTTAAACCGCTAATCCGGAAACAATTTCTCTTTGTCTGGGCTGAAAAAGAAAAAAGAAGCACGAAGACTAAATATGTGTTAAATTAATCTTTGGATTATATCTGTACTTTGAACCTTATTCAATGTTAAAATACCTGGATTAGATGCTCACTTGTCAGATTCATTAGACGATGCTTATTTATCAAAAGATTTTTCAATAAATACCAGAAACAACCTTATGGATGAAATCAAGATAGATTAAAACATGCTTTTGGTTTATTTCCGTTTAATTTTTCATCCATCCTGCAAACAGTGGCTTAACAAACTTGCTTCCTTTAAATTTTAAACACATATTTAAACTTCCTTTAGATATGTGTCTTTATGTTTTTACACAAACATTATATGCGACTCTGGTTTGGTTTATAATATCAGACAAAATCCATAATAAGCTATGTGCTTTAATATGCTTAAAATACTTTATTATTACTTAACAGTGATAAAAATATCAAACAAAACACTAAAAATGGATAGAAATGAAGAGAGCAGCTGTTCATGCACTCTATGAGGTTTAATGACCTCCATCCAGTTACATGAAAATAAGAACAAAATAAAGGACTCAGAGGTGTCAAGTACAGTAACGAAGTATTTGTACTTTGTTACTTAAGTAAACTTTTTAGATATCTATACTTTACTCCATTACTTTTTTTTCTTCCTACTTCTGACTTCTTCTCATTACATTTTCACACAAGTATCTGTACTTTCTATTCCTTAGATTTTTAACACAAATGTTACTCACTACTCTTGGCTGCTGTTTAATGTTTATAAATATTTATTTCACATCACTTGCGCCATCCAATGCATATCATTGGTACCATCCACATATAGTGAAAACTAGTGTAACTGGATGAGTCATATAACGCAAATACTCATTGGTTAGCTAAAGGAAATCATCAGAAGCAAGCAGGTGTTCTTCAGACTGCAAACGTGAGTTGTCTATGCCATGCTACAATGTCGGATTCAGAAAAAGATGTCAAAATATCTGACAGGTTGGACACAGGCAAGAGCGTATCGTAAGATGGACAAGACCTCCCTCATCCTTGGCCCTATCTCAATGAATGTTTAGAAATAGTCACACAAAAAACTTAACTTTCAATTTATATAGTGGCATCTGGCTGTTTTTTTTTGTTTGTATTTTTTAAAGGTTACTTTGTACTTTCAGTAGTTTTTGGAGCTCATACTTTTTCACTTTTACTTGAGTAAAGAGGTCAAGTTGATGCTTCCAACTTTTACCAGAGTGTTTTTAAACTGCAGTATCACCACTGTATAAACCTCACATGTCAGAAATAAAGACATGTATTAATATGAGCATAGAGATGTCCATATGTTATGTTAAAAACCATAAAAAAAAAAATAACATTTATCTTCCTTTCACGTTCCAGCCTTGTATATTAGACTAATCCTAATAATTGATTTTATTTAAAAAAAATTTTAATTAAATTTCTCATTAGGCTGAAGAGGAACCCACGATTGACCAATCAGAGGATGAGGTTCCAACAGTTAAGAGGAGGCCGCTGCCTCGCGGTCGGGCAAGGAAGAGGCCAAGGGCCGTGGCTGTGGAGGACTGCCAGTCGGGAATATTAGCTCCATCCACAGGTTCTACTCTAAACCTTTCCTAATATTTTCCGTTTTCTAAAAAAAAATTTAAAAAAGCCCCTCTGATCTGACTGATGCTCCTCTTGTTTTCCAGATTCAGCTTTTAAGACTCCTCTCAAACCTGTGATGCACCATGAGCGCGTTCTGTCAGAGATCGATGTGGCTTCTCCTCGTAATTCCACGTCAAGAAACATCTACCCACCCATCGTGAGGTTCCTCACGCCAAGCAAGGAAAGTAAGTGTAGTACCGTTAATTCAACCTAAAACGATTCAGGAGAACATTAGTAATTCAATTTGTGAACTGATCACTAACAAAACAAAAAAGATCAATCTTATGGTTGTTGATGTTCTGATGTGTTCACATTGGAAGCTTCCAAAAGTTAACATTTTAACCACTGCTTTAATGAATAACTGTGATGCTTGTGACCCCCTCATGATGACCACCAGCTATGGAGCATTGATCTTCTGATTTAAAAGGAGATGTAGACCACTCTGTGGTGGTTATTAGTGATGTAGATGTCCATCATACCCGCCTGTTTTCGCAGCTATTGATGACTTTTAAAACATCCGAAACAGAAAAATCCTACATTTCCCTGGGACACGACTCTGCTTTAGCCGATAATTGTTTCGTGGACTTAGGTCAGTTGAGATGGGATTATTAATATGTCTGATCACTTTGTGTAAATAATTACTTAAATAAGTATTATTTTAGCCAAAAAGCTTGTAGTCCACATAAAAAAAAAGAGAAATGAAAACTAAGACTTCCATACACATGTTCAATTTAATAAAAAAAATTTGTGACAAGTGTTCCGGCTTAGAGATTGTGAAATTCCATCATTTTAGTTAATTACCGTACGGTATTTCATGGATGCAGACATTTCTGAGGTCTGGGGGCATCTCGGCACAAGCAGGGTTTTTTTTTTTTTTTTTTTTTTTTTTAAATATACATTTTCTTTCCCCCTTATTTTATGCGGGCCAGTTAGTTATAGGTAAGCTTGAACACCTAAATTTGGCCAATCATGTATCGACGGTCATCTGTCAATCATATCATCTTGATTCATATGTCACAGCTAATTTACAAAACGGCTTAAATAAGAAATAACTTACTTACTTTACTAACTTACTTTACCATTGAGTTACTTCCCAGTGTTCACGGGGATGGACGTTTGTGTCTTCAGCAGGCGTAGAGCTAACAGAACTGGCAGCGTTGCGAGGCAAGGGCTCAAACGTACGGCTGTAAGCCTTCTACACCAAACCAAGCTTCTGCCGCCCTGGCGTCCTCTTCCACTACAACTTCATCCCCGCTTTCCTCCTTTAAATAAAAACAATGAATGACGGAGGAGACTCATCCACGACCTGCGACATAAAACTCTCCTCCTCTTGCATGTTTCCGCTGTCCATAGCATTTCTTGACAGTGTCGTTGCTAAGTGCTACTTGGTCCCAATATAATTTGGGAACCTACTAGCACTAAGTTGCTAACTGGTTAGCATGATGCTTCCAACAAACCGGCCACAATGAAACTTGCTTGCGAACCTTCCACCACAGCAATCCCGCCCCCTTGATAATCACCAATCATTTTCACTTTATTCAGTCGTGTAAAGTCTGGCACCACTCGGGAGAATTCAGAACTGCGACCATTGGAACAACCGCTTCCCTATGACTTTAAAGGCTGTAAAAAAAAAAAATGAATGTCCATTGTAGTCTGTTCTATAAGACAGAAGCTGAAATCTGGAATGGGTCAATGAAGAGGGAATTATAAAAAAAATGCACTCTAAGTAAGCAGTTACTGTCAACTCGGTGTGGTACCATCAGTGTTTAATAACCAGGAAACAAGTTTCTTTTTACTGTTCGATGATGAACAAAGCGATTACAGTCACCAAATGCTTTTGCTATACGCCTCTAATCATTCAGACTCGTGTCCCATTCTGTCTTTCTGTGTTTTTTATTCAGATATGAAATGTCCTGAAACTGGGAACAGTGTTTTGATGAGCCCAGAACAAGGTGTGTTTGGTTACGGTTCCATTGACCTACTGGCTGGAGACGAGGACGATGACGTCTTTGATCCGTGCGTTGGTCTCTTTCTTTGCAGAAATATTTTCAGTCTCAGCTTTCATTTCCTTGTTGTATAATTAGTTCTGTGTTTTACTGTGTTCTCAGTTTTACCTTCATCAAGAACGTACCGTCACAGTCTCAGCATTCCCGACCGTGTCTCAGAGACATCCCACCAAAGACCAGGAGCACCCCAGAGGCCACACTGGTGGTGGACCTGGTGAGTGTAATCCTCTGCACCATAATACCAGCAGTACATGAGCATGGATGTTCAGACACTATCTGCGTTTGCATGGGCATAGATTGTTGGATTAAATGGCTGATTGGACTAAAAGTCCAATCAGATGGCAGTCGGAACATTCTGATCAGTGTAGTGGTTTATGCCGTCTGACATCAACTTATTCTGAATGAGGCAAACTGGACTGGATATGCAGTTTAACCTAGGAAAAGAAGTGAAATGCAATCTCAAACATTTCATTTTGTTTTTTAGTTCAACTGGTTGGTTGTAAGGCTAAAGGAAAAGACTGATTAGTATCTACTGTTGTCGGAAAATTTTGATTTCCCTTTATTATACATTAATTTATCCTATTTACTCACTATAAAAGTTTTCACTCAGTCTGTTTCAATTTCAAGGCCACACCATTCTCTGCAGGATGGTGTTTGTAGACCAGACAGTTTCTTCCCATAACAAACTAGATTCTTTCTCAAGGTTTATTCATAACATGTTACTGTTAACCAAAGTGTCTGTAATTTGTTTTGATTCTGACTACTTTCCATTGTTGTAAGTAAGGGGGGACGATTGCTGCTCATGCAGAACAGAGCAGAATGCTGTGCCATAAGGGCTGTATGATGAACTGTTCTCTCTTTGCAAAGATATAAATAAATGTGCCCACTGAGTTAAATCCATTAATCTCCGTTTATTTAACTAGGATGAATAGTTGAATACTTTTTCCCACGACACTACCTTCTTGTTTTCCAAATAGGAGGAGACGCTCATGTTCAGCTCCCTGAATGTGATCGAAGATGCAGATTATACTTTCTATACAACATTCCAGGATAATCAATACAAGGTACCCATGTTTCCTTCACACATTTATCATTAAAATGTCAAGAAGGACTTTATTTGCTTTGGTTTCAAAGTTTGATTTTTTTTTTTTTTCTCAGTGATGATTGACATACCTTTAGTTTAGGAAGATTCATTTTTAACCAAAGCAATAAACTCACTGCTGACTGTTCAGATTCTTTAATTGTGCTTAAATGTGGATTTTCAGGCTGAATTTAATTCTGATGCAGGTTATAGAGTCAGTCTAAGGGCTGTGATACACAATTGGAAAAGAAAGTCCAGCCGTCCCTGCTTTACTCAGCTTTTGTACTAAACGCCTTTATACTAAAGTTTAGGTTAAGTTTTCTGTCTGACACAGGATTTTACCACATCTTTACATCTTACTAAAACAGCAGATATGATGAGTGTTGTGTGTTGGTTTTCCGCTTATGCCATCGCCTGGCTTAATGTGCCCATCAGTTTGAGCGTTCTAACAACCTATTGGTTAGTGTCACTGCGTTTAACTCTGAGAACATCTCTAACCTGCAGAAATGTGGGTCCTCTCCTTTAATCTTCACCAGTCTTGTGTTTGTTTCCTCACCCTGTTTGTTTCACAATGGATTTTGCAGAAAACCCTGAATTAGAGCGTGTCTGATCAGTGCATTTCTGCTTGAAATCCTTAATGACAATTTGGCTGTTTGGTCAACAAAGGCAGACGTTTTTGGGGTGTGTTGCATTTATTTACCTGTAATCATAACATTTAAGATGGTGTTTGTTAATAAACAAACCAGCTGCACAGTTTCAGACATTAAGACAAACGTAAGGTATAAGCAGAAGCTCTGAGATATTTTATATGGCATTAGACTGTTTTTATTTTCAGTGGGGGTGGAACTGATCCCGGCATAATGGTACATTTCCCATGTTGGAGGCCAGCTGTGATGCAGCCAGAGACTGAAACTAGATCATTTCCACTAGCATCTCCATCATTTCCACTTCAGGAATGTATTTTAGGAATGTACGTTTAGTGATGCCAGAGTATTTTTAAATGGCAGCGTTTATGGAGGAGGTATTCGTGCTGTAATTCATCCACTTTTTGCTGGATTGAGAACTCTTTATAAAGCTTTTTTGTATTTAGTTATTTTTTTACTTTTATGTTTTTTTTTTTAAAAACTGAAAAAGAAGAGAATCTGCTTGTTTGGGAAAAAAATGAAATAAACTGGTCAACATTTGTCTTACTGGTCTTCTAGTTGAATGAATGGTTTTTGATAACCAAAGTTATTCTCAGTATTTAGATTTGTTCATTTGTTTTTCCTTTTCTTCTGTGGTCCTCCAAACCATTCCAAGAATCCTCCTTTGTTTTATGAATCCAAACAGCCTCAGAATCACTCTAGGAATGATTTGGAGCTGCTGAAAAGTTTACAGCTAAAGTTTTTCTTCACAGTAACTCTCCACGAAGCAGCATTAGTGTTTTATAAGTGTTGAATAAGAACCATGTCCTGTGATCCTTTAAACAGGTCTACATGATCCTACGACCACATTTGCGAGAGTTTCTTCAGTCCATGGCAAAAATCTACGAGGTGAGAGGGATTCCTATAGTTTTATTTTGATTTGTAGACCATTTCTAACGCCACATTCCTGTTTGTTTTCCCAGCTGTTTGTTTACACATGTGCAAAAAAAGAATATGCTGAAAAGATCCTGGAGATCCTCGACCCTCAGAAGAAACTGTTCAGGTATGTCCCCTTTATTTTGAGGACAAGTAAATGAGTCTTAGCCGGCTGGCTCGAGATGACGCATCATGTTGGTTACAGCTGCTTATGATTCTTTTTGCAGACACCGTCTGTATCAGGATGACTGCGCCTGTGTCCTCGGACACTACATCAAGGATCTGGGCATCCTCGGGAGGGATCTGACCAAAACGGTGGTTCTGGATAATGCACCACACACGTACCCATACCATGTAAGAGATGGGCTCCTCTGTCTTCCTCTGTTTATAAGGAAATTTGTTTTGGTTTAAAAAAAATAATAATCTAATTATCTGTGAATGCAATTGGACAATTACAATTAACATCACATTATGACTGCATTCAATATTAGAGAGGCTTGTTGGTATGTTAAGTCCTTATGAACTGAGATATAAATGATGATGATCTGTTTATCTTTACTATACCTCTGTGTCTCTTATAGACCCCGATCATCTAGGCCACAGCTATGTGTCGCCTGTGTATGAATTTCTGACAGCTGTAAATTAGACAACAAATACTTCAAACAGCTCTTTGTTTGGCTGATATCTCAAACACCGATAGTAAAGATTTAGCCGTAAACACTGCAATGTCTTTATGTTTGTTTGGTTTTTTGTATCCCGTGACTGGAAAAGGCAAACTTCTTCATTTTGTAACATCTACAGCAGAGAAGGCTGTCTGTGCAACCTGATATGCTTTTAATGATCAGAATAAGATCTAATGAGTTTCCCATCACCCATTGCCTGAAGGACCTATCAGGTTAATATCCTACATTTTCTCTCCTCAGCTGATGAACACAATACCTATTAAGAGCTGGTCTGGAGGACCAGAGGACAAGGAGCTGCAGAAGCTCGTCCCCTACATGGAGAAACTGGCTGCAGCGGTATGTCTGCTTTTTTTTGCGAACACTCGGTCCATTTCCCAGATTTGTCCTTAAATACTCCTAATGAATTTTTAAGGCGCATCTACTGTTCTCTTCCTAGAGGAAAACGCATTTGGAAGTATCTGTATCTTCTCTTCCATGACTTTGTAACAGAAAAATGTGTTGGAAACTGATTTCTGAGCCGCTTTTTTCCAGGTTGTATTTTTAACCAATAATATTGAAAGAAAAACACATCTACTGCCCCCGTGTGGTCATATTATGTATAGGTTTTGAGGGCCCAGTCAGAGTTCTGATTTATCATCCATCCTAAAAGAATGATTAAAATCCCTGCATAAACACATAAAAGATTAGTATAAATTGATTTTTGGGGGAAATGGTACAAACTCCTTATATACAGACAAACTTTATTTTGATGTATTTAACTAAAGTGAAATCACGACGGAGTTCTTCATGGCTACCTTGCCTCATTGTTTTACTGCTGGGAAATCTAAACATTTCAAACGAGTAAAAACGTGATTTTCCTTGTTTTTTTTTTCATTTTTGTTTATATTAATCTAGCATTAATCTGCTTCTGGTGTGGAAATGGTGAAACATGTCTGGTGTTTTGTGATGGTGTTAAGTTTGTCTTCCTCATTCCATAAAAATATAATGTGTAAGGCTATTAACCAGACCAGAGTGAACATAATGCGTAGAAATCAGCTGTATGATACCATATTATAGGAAATATGGCTTAATGTATCAGAATATCTTTCAGTAAAGAACTGCCTCATTTTCTTTTTTTTTTTTCTCTCTTTAATGAAGTAGTTGGTCTAATCCAATCTTTACAACTAGTGTGAAACAAACGACCATTTTTTTTTTTTTTTTATCATCAGGCTGCTGTCTTCCCTAACAAAGCTAGACTAAATGGTATCTATTTATTTCCAGGAGGATTTTCAGGAGGTGCTGAAGAAGAGGAAGGACCACTTCCACAGGTTGCTGTCTGAGGACTGACAAATCCTTCCCCCCTCACCACACGACTGCTGTAGCTCATGCTTGGGTTGAAAATCAGATTCCAGATCGGCCCTCCAGATCAGCAGGCAGCGTGTCAGTGTGGGGAACCTGCTCATCCTCCTCCAGTCGTTCCCGAGGAATTTTAAGGCCGGCACATTTTCAAGATGCTGTTGATCCATCGTCACTTGAACCCAGCTTCTGCCCAGAACTGATTCCTAAAGCTGTGCACTGCTAACATCTGTAAATATACCCAGAACAAAACTTGAATTATTGTTTATATTCCTAATGTTCTATTTATTAATCATATTGCTTACCAACAGCTTTTGTCTGTATATTGGAGGATTTTTTTTTTTTTTGGTGAAATGTAAAAGATTTAAAGTGATAATAAATCTCTAAAAAGTGTCTGACTGTTTAACTTGGACATGACTGATGGTGGTAAAGATGTCAGCTGTTGTTCAGAGTGGGCAGCTCCACCTGTATACACAAGGCGGGGGTTTCCTGGGGGGTCTGGAGGTTCCTGGTTTGAATGAAAAGTGGAAGAGGATGGGTCAGTGCCTGTTCCTCATGCATTTCCCCTCACAGGGGGGTCTGGGGGAATGCTGTCCCGATGACCCAATGCATCAGTATATATTCCTGTTAAAACGACATTATACCAGTTCAATGCATGTTCAAAAATATGACTTCTAGTTTGGTGAATTTAATAGCCAAGGGCAAACCAAACCATTAATGGGCAAAAAATGTGTTTATCTAGTAATCGGGTCAGGAGATGCTTCTACTTCAAAGAGATGGCACTATTCAACCAGTTTTAACACAGAGGGAATGGTTTCTTAACTGTCTCTATATGTAGGGCTGCAACTAACGATTATTTTGCAAATGTATTAGTTGTTGGTTTTTTGTTTTAATAGATCTTAATTGGATAGCAAAAGCTTCCTTAAAGATTTTTTGCAAAATTTACTTGAGTTCTGCATAGAGCATGTTGGCCGATCGAAAAAGATTTTGATCTTAAACGCAAAATGTTTACATATTTTTACAATTTTTGTATAATTGCTGCTCAGGTGTTTTGTTCTGTCAGCTAAAGGTATGTCTTCCGGTCTCTATTTTCCAATTAATGATAAATCACTAAATTGGTTGAAGATTATTTCATTAATCAGTTAATCATGATTAATCCAATTGTTTTAGCCCTACATATGTGTTTGTATGTATATGTATATATATATATATATATATATCTGTACCTGGTATAGGGCTATGGCGTTATTTGGGTTAGGGTGAGGTATGCATTGGTAATTGCTTGGTTTAGGGTTAGGGCAGAGAAAGGCTTGAAAATGCCAAATCATTAGGAGTCAACACATGGTCCTCACTACATAAAGTAGAATGTATGTGTGTGTGCGTGTATGTATGAGCGCACAGTTGTAGAGAAGTGGGCCAACTTCACCAGAACGTGTTTGAGCTTTAACAATGTCTGTACTTTGGCTTGCTCGTTATGAGCGTTGAACAAGCCTTCAAATTATTATTCCTTTTTTTTTAAACTAGGGAAACGCAGCTTGACGCAAATCTGGCCATGGACCAGTGGACCAGCCATACACTCTCTCTAGGGGTCTACAGGGTTGATGTGAGGTTGTTCACGTAGTCAACATGTGTTTTGTGGACCTAGAGAAGGTATTTAACTATGTCCCTCTGGTGCCCTGTGGGGGGCGCTCAGGTGTAAGGAGTCAGGGGCCCTTTACTTGGTGCCAAACCTTTTTAAGCAGGAGTTGGGTTTGGGGACCAGTGGGTCTTGTTTCTCCTTTTTGCCAAAGACGTGGTTCTGCTGGCTCCCTCTTGCCAAGACCTACAGCATTCAGTGGGTCAGTCTGCAGCTGAGTGTGAAGTGGCCGGGATGAGAATCAGCTCTGAGGCCATGGTTCATGACCAGAAAAGGTGGCTTGTCACCTTCATGGTGTAGGAGAGTTCCTGCCTCATGTGGAGGAGTTGAAACATCTTGGGGTCCTGTTCGTGAGAGAGCAAATCAATGAGTCTGCTGTTATAATGCGAACGCTTCACTGGTCTGCTAAGGTAAAGAAAGAGCTGAACGATAAGCGGGAAGCGTTCAATTTACCAGCAGGTCTAATATTCCTTCTTTCACCTATTGTCGTGAAATCTGGATGATTGCAGAAAGAACAAGATTCTGGATACAAGCGGCTGAAATTAGCTCTCTGCATGTTGGCTGGGTGCTCCCTTAGAGATGCATGAGGAGCTCAGTCATACAGTAGAGCTGCTTCTCCACATCAAGAGGAGTCAGCTGAGGTGGTTCAGACATCTTTGCCTCACTCAGGAGGTGTTCCAGGCACGTCCCACTGGGCGGAGGCCTAGAGGTCCACCCTGGAGGGACTTTGTCTCCAGTGTTGTGCCTGAACGCGTTCATTGAACGAAAGTTCATGAACTCGTTCATATTTTGGGCGAACGTGAACTGAACGTACTGCATTATTGCCTGGTGAACGTTATTGTGAACTCGTTCATTCTGGCGTCTGTGAACGGCACGCTCTCTCAGTTCAAGTCCGTTTAACAGGTTGCCAGATTTCTATAAAGCCCTCCAGGCGAAACCCCGGCTAAATCACACCGTAAACAGGCCTTAATATGTAGCGGGAAAAACACCCAATCTGGCAACACCAGCTACCAGCGTCGTAGCCTACAGCCGCGTGCGTCATCAAAACAAAATGCAGCGTGGAAGCAACAGCAGCATGTAGGCGACTTAAAACAGGTTTATGACCAGGATGATGGCAACAAGTTTGCCCGCCGGCTTTCAGTAAAAAAATCCGCACTTCAGTAACCTTAAATTCCTACCTCAGCCTGGTCCCTCAGTTTGTGTTAGTAAAATGTTCTTGATCGGTCTTCAACGGGGGATCCGCGACCCCTAGGGGGTCTACGGAGGTACTGCATGAGCGTCTGCATGGTTAGTTGATTTTTTTATATTCCCCCCCTGCATTTCTTTCCCCCACTAATTGAAATGTCTTTAAATACTCATTAACATGAAATCAACGCACTGTAGTAAACAGATAAATGGAGGCAGAAGATGTCTTTCAGTCATCAATGCTCACATTCAGCGACACACAGGAGCTCTTTCAAGCTGGGCACCGTTTCCTTCACAACACCTGTCCCATCAACCAGGAATCAGAATCAGAAAAACTTTAATAATCCCAGGGAGAAATTAATTTCTTTACATTACTCCATCTGTAATAGAGTGACTATAGGACACAATTTCATACAATATATATAAATAGGGGGTCCCCGCTCCATCTCGCCATCAGTTTGGGGGTCCTTGGTCTGGAAAAGAAGACCCCTGTTCTTGAGGGTTTTACTATCCATGTAACTTGTTTGTTAAACCTGCCTGGTATAATTTTCCAGGATTCCTTTTTAGTATGTATTGAAATGGAATTTCAAATGGAAAAAATTATAAAAAACAAAAACAAAAAACATTTGCACCTTAAAGACTACTTTCCTATTTTTCTTTTAATAATTCCTCATAAAAAAGACCATTCAAGCAGCACATTTTTCCTGATGTTTTTGAGAATATACTGTAGGGTTGAAAGCTGCAGCTGCTACTAGTGTGAAGTGATGGACAGCAACAAAGCATTAAAGCAACAATGGGGAAATGCTGTCCCCTCAATGCTAATGTAAACCCTGGTTGGATAAGGATTCAAAACTGGATATGAAGATGAAATCTGACGCACAGTTTCAGAGTTACAACTGATAAAATAATTGCTGTCTGTGGTTCTACAGTAGGCTATGGTGTAATTGAGCAATATATGAAAAAAAAAAAAAAAGAACTATGAACTAGTTCGTTTTTTGGAATTGTGAACTATGAACTGAACTAGTTCATTTTAAAATGTGTGAACTGAACTTTGAACTAGTTCACGTAGAAAGAGAACTTTCCCAACACTGTTTGTCTCCCTTGAATTCAACAGGCTTCCCCCAAAGGAGATGGAGGAGGTGTCTCTGCTTAGATTGCTGCCTCCATGCCTTCCTGGGTTAGGAAGGAATAAGAGTATGGATTTAAATCAGAGGTCAGGAAAGCTCCAGGTGTAATTACTTTTGCTTTTCAAAACAAATCTTTCATGAAATATTTGTCATAAACCACATGTTGATCCTCTTTTTCATGGGTCCACCACCCTTTTTTCCAAATTAACTTTTATCCACATGAATCCAATGCAAACCAGCAACTTTAAAGCAAAGCTGGTTGAAAATTCCTCCAACCATCTGATGATGGTTCTTCACTTTGTATCTGGACTGAAATCTTTTTTCGAAAGTCCTCCAAACCTCCAAACCAGGATTTAACTGGGCACAAATCTAAATATTGTTCATCCGAAATGAAAACTGGGATTCCAGAGTCTCCATCTTTAGTATAAATTCATACTGTCAGCATTCATAAAGGGATTTTGAGCTATTGGGAGAACGTCTGACAGCAGAAGCTTAGAGACTTAACAGACCAGCACCTTACCCTGGGAAAATGAGGGTTCCGCTGATTAGGGAGGAACAACCACTGACCTGAAAATAGAGGAAAACTATTATAGAAGTCCTGTGGGCTTTATTTAAGTCCTGCATGTTTTAGCTGTTAGTACAGCTGCAAAATAATTGTCAAGAGCAGCTCATTAAACACAGCTTTCACCATGCTCTGTTTCTAATTCTTGGAGGCTGCTTGCTAATGGCTGTCGCTGTTGATGTGGTCATAACGTCTGCAGCTAGTTTGCTCCACTTTTGCACCTGGTGGATGAAAGAAAAGTTCAAATATTCCAATTTTCTTCCTCATTTTACTCACAAATGAAGCAATAAACAACGCTACTGGTTGTCATGAGGACATCCAGGAGGTACGTTTGGAGTTGTTTGTTTTTTGTTTTATTTTTACTTAAAGAAATTGTAACCACTTGGGTAGAAGAAAGCAATTTCTCACCTGAGAATGTGTGGATTTTATTTCTGAAGTTTGAGTTATCTGTGGTAGATGTGGCATAAACTGTGTTGCTTTGTTTATTTTATTTTCTCCATTTAATTAGATTTCATTCGCTTTTCAGTTCTGGATCGTGTCGTTTTCGGTTAATGAAGCGAAATTATTCCTTTTAACAGCTAACAGAATTTTTCTGCGTTCATCAATTTTCAAGCGAGTTTGCTGTTTTCTAATGCAATAGCTGCTGATGCGTCCATTTTGTGAGCTATTTTCATGGTTCTCCCCTTTTTGGGACTCTGAGT